CATACATACATACATAAACATACACGTATACATACATACATACATATACATACATTTATGCATACATACATACATAAACATACACGTATACATACATACATACATATACATACATTTATGCATACATACATACATAAACATACACGTATACATACATACATACATATACATACATGTATGCATACATACATGTATACATACATACATGCATACATATACATACATGTATATATACATACATATGTATATATATATACATACATGTATACATACATATGTATATCTACATACATATTATAAAAAATGTATTTTATATGTACATATCTTAATTTATATGTATGTATATATATATACATACATGTATATCTACATACAAACATGTATTTAACATATAAAAAAAAATATGAACTTTTACATTTAAAAAAAATGTGGGAAACATTCTAAACATATGTAAATAAAAAGAATTATTATTACGCGTGCGCACCCGTGTGTGTGTGTGTGTCTATATATATATATATATTTCAAAGGAATGACCAAAGGTTATTATATGAGTCTCCAGTCACCCATAATCTGTCTAACAATTCAAATACAATCTTCTTAAGACCAACTGTACTAGAGTGGATTCGAACCCTTGAGATGAGGGGTCTTCTACCGAAGATGCCTACCCTAAACTATTGGTTGACATCCTTGATATAAGACCTCTCATATGAGAGGTTTGAATCCCCTTGGGCGGCGTGAGCCTTAAGGAAGTAATACTTAAAGTTCTAGGCACATTAGAAATGATTGGAGACTCGTATAATAACATTTGGTTATTTCTTATATATATATATAGCAATTTGAGGGTCATGACAGGATCACTTTATAAGAATAAAAGAGTAATAAAAAATAGAACATATATACATAAAAGAAAGAAACATAATGTTTCGATCTATGAGTACACAGAAAGACAGGAGGGGCAGAACTCAGTTCATCCTATGAATCAACCAGTACAAGTAGCATCTGTGGAGGTTAGTATCATCAATGTTTTACTTGGGATCAGGTTGATGCGCCATAATAGAGTGTTAGGGTCACAAACTAGAGTATGGATAAAGCTATCTTGAACCAGCAAACATTGTCAACCAGAGCTACCACATAAGACTATAGAAATACAACACACAAACTGATCCCAAGTTTCAGTGTTTTGTGATTGGAAAACAGAATAATATCAATCACGAATGCCATATGAGCCCGCTCAGCTTTACAAAGGTCATATCACTTTCTGAGTTGTAACCAAGAATCCAATTGATAATATTTATTTATATAAAATAATATAAAATATTATTATAATAAAATTTATTTATATAACTTGGGCTATTCATGAACTACTAACTTTTTAGACAATTGTAGCTCCAAGTCATAAAAAATAATCAACTTCTATCAATTAGATATGATGTATTATCCTAGTAATTAATTGACGATTTTTTTTTGTTAAATGACTATCATATATAACTAGAGCTATTAAAACGTCTCGTTATTCACGAATAGTTTGTGTTCGGCTCATTAAGAAACTAGTGTTCGATTCATTCGCCAAGGTAACGAGCCGAACACAAATAATTTTTTTGCGCTCAATATATAAATCAACCGAGCACGAACAAAAAATTGTCAATTCGTGTTCGGCTCATTTTGACTTGAAAAAAATAAATTTATATATATTAAATAATAAATTTAATATATTATAAAAATATACTAAATTATATTTAAATGACGTATGAATATAAATTGTAAGATTTAAATCTCATTCAAACTCTTAAAAGCTTATGACTACGTGACTAATTTTGTCAAAATGAATCTTTGTCTGCAAACAGCTCGTGTTAGGCTCATTAAGCAAACGAGTCGTACACGAACACAATTTTTTTTTTGTTCGAAATATAAAAGAGTCAAACACGAACAACAATATTTTTTAATCAGTTGAACAGAAGCTGAGTCTAAGCTCACTCGTGTTCTGCTCTTTTACACTATATGTAACTATATGATAAAAATTATCTTTCACTTGACTTAGAATAAATCAATAAGTATAAAGTTAAATTTTAATGAGGATTTCCTGAAATCTTCGAGCAGTTCAAAGTAAAATTTTCACATTTTTCATTCTCTATTCAGTTCTCCACCACATGCTAATTTTTTATTTCCTATTCATTGTCAGAACTGTTAATATTAACCGCTCTACTAACGAATCTCTTAATATATTTGCAGTGAAATAAACAGCACCTTGGAGCACAACCATCGCTTGACAGCATGACACGTGGTTAACTCACGAATTTCTAGCCACAAACTGCGATGGTGAGTGGGTGGCAGGTGTGTTTCGGTTAAGGTGATTAAGCTATTAACTATGTCTGAAGTGCTGTTTCCAACTGCCACTGGAGAGAGTGGGTGAGTTTTAAGCTTACGAGATCTCTTTACCATCTTCGATGCGGTCAAATGGAAAATTTATTAATTACGAGCACAGAAAATAAGTGAATTAAATTTGACTCAGATGTTAATAAAATATGTATAAATGTTTAATGTGGATGCATATAATTCTCCTATGCTTATGTTGAACTTGGAGCTCTCCAGAATCACACCCATGGAGTAGATCACAAAGAGAATTGTGAAACTCTTATTCAAATGGTCCCTTATTTATGGATAAAGAAGGTATAGTATGTAAAGTTGAATGCTTGCTCCTGATCTAATGGGTGCTTTATATAGTATTTCAGGTATTTACATAAATGAGCATATGACTGAGATTGGAGAGTTTGGGTCGATAAGGCTCATTCGACCGACTATGATCTTGGGTTTTGCCAATCAGCTTCTGTTGATCTTCAGCCATTCGAACTTGAATTTGTCTACTTGAGTCAACCAATAGGCTGCTTTGGTATGGTTGTCGACTATCAACCTCTATGTGTGCAGCTTCTATTACTGGGATGAGACTAGGCTATCGGGTAGAGAGAGAGAGTCGTCGTAATTCGACAGGTAGCTCGCCCCTTGACAAAATGTCATTCAAGGTGTTTGTCGAGTATATCATGGTAAAACCTTCGGGGCCCTGATGAAGTGTCTTGGCAGTTGAGAGGAATCCTAGGGCGAGAGTTGGGCTTAAGCCTTCTCTTGAATTGATGGATTTTTGTCATTCGCTAGATCGACCTTTGTTCGACAGGCTTCAGGTCTCGATTCTAAAAGATTTGTACTTGGTCAATCTAGTTATTTGATCTTCTGATGATGAAACTTTTGATCTTCCTTATATAGGTCATCCCGTGACATACTTTCATGTCTCTATTCTATTAGAATTTTTTGAGATTCGTGCTATCACATTTATGTACATTTTACATATCCAATACCTAGATTTTTTATATTTAAATGTATGACACTCAAAATTTTAATATTAGATAAAAAACAAATCAAATAATATTTACTAAAGTTATGATTGGAACATATATAATACATAATTTTCATGATGCCATTTACTGATGTGAATTTTTATTTAATAACCGAAGATAGAAGTGTCATTTGATTTTTAGATTGATAAGTTCTATATAATTTAAATTAATAATTAAAATTTTTAAAAAAAATTACTATAAAATAATTATTATTTTCGCAAAGGAATCAAAACAATCAAATAAGATCCGTTGGATATAATTTTTTGTTTTATCAAAAACAATACACAACTCACTCAATAGTAATTCATGAATTTGATGCGAAAAGGCGTCTTTGCCCTAAAATATTAGGAAGATTTACATACATATCACTCAATTCTTATGTATTTACATGTCTAAAATCTAAACTTTAATTTTTACACATATACCATTTTACCTATACATGTAAAGATGTCTTTCGCTTTTTATATTTAAAATAGTAATATATTTTTTTTATGTAAAATGTAAGATTTTGGTGGTAGAAATGTCGAATGAAAGCTTAAGTGTCCATATGTAAATAAATATTACATTAAGACTCCTAATGTCGAGCTACATTCGGAGTCCACTGATATGCGGACACGTGTAAGTGACAGAAAAATAAAAATAAAAATCGTTCTAGCGCAGAGGAATATTCTTCTCGTGTTATTCTACATTATTCATGTGTTATTGTGTTGATATTAATGTATTATTATGTTATTATAACACCGAGAATATTCCTAAAACACAATAACACATGAATACCACCACAATAATACTTGAATAATGCAGAATAACACAAGAGAAATATTCTCCTGTGTTACCAGGTCATATATCACAGTAAAAGAGACCTTTTGCGTATGTATGTTTTACTATAAATTTTTACTTCAATAGTCTATTCGTTTTAGTCAAATATGCATGTGGTTATGATTTGAAGTGTGTGATTGTAATATCGAAAATCAATTGGTGCCCACAGGAAAAGGGAGAGAGAGGTAATAAGGTCAACTATATAATTATATAATTTTTGAAGCTTGAAAGCTTTTATATGGCGAACATGTGATTTTAGATCCCTGCAATCCGTCCCCATGGGTTCATTGCATTAACTGGTTTCCTTTTTTTTTTTTAATTATTTATTTTTATATGGTGATAATGCTGTCTCGCTTAGTATATTGTTATGGTAAATAGTTTTTAAATTATTTTTATTTTAAATAATCTGATTAGTATTAATTATGATTTATATATATATAATAAACATGAAAATTTTTAGTATTACACCATTCTTGATTAATATTTTGAGAGTTGTTCATAAGAGGTTTTTTTCGAAGTGGTTTAAGAAAAAATAAACTTTAATTTGAATCTTATTTTAGAGATAAAAAACAATACTGTCGTCTGAAGAGAAGAATATTGTGTTTGGACGTCCGCACGTCTGAACAACCAACCACCCGCTGTTACGCCGCTCGTCGATGAGGTGTATGTCAATGTGACGGCCGGTGGTTGGGCGTCCGAACATGCTATGTCCGGACGTAACATTTTCTCTACCCTACCCTAAAGGGGAATGTGGTCTATCTTGTATTATAAAAAAATATATTATATACAAATAATATCTATAATAAAAAAGAAACAAACTAATTCATTTCATAAAGAAAAATCTAATAACTAATACAACCGAAAGAAAAATCTATTTTAAAATAAAAAAGTGTTGATTGAAATAATATATTAAAAATTAATATAGTTTTCTTAAACAAAATAATACACATTTAATCGGATATATTTTTATTTAATAAATTTATTTTAGTGGAATTACATGCATATCACACAATAAACTTTGATATTTATTTATATACTCATGTTAGAGTATAATAAGAGAATTAGCTTTTATTTAAAAAGAAAATAATATGAATAAAATATAAGAGTTAATCAATCAGTGATATATTATATTAATTGTAATATAAATTTAATAAAAAAAATCATTTTGTATTAAATTTAATTTGAATATTCTGTTTTTTTTTTCATAATTGATCAGAGAATTTAGCTCTCTAAAATTTAAAATGACTCTAAATTTAAAAATCCTGTTTAAATCTGTTTGATAGTTTTCTTATTGAGTTCAAGCTCTAATCCAACTTTAATTGAGCCTTTAATCATATGCTTAATGTTAATAATTTAAAATTTTAAGATCCCTACTTGATACAATTTTCCTTAAATTAACTATTTTGCAAAGTTTAATTAGTAATAATGAAATGGGTTATTCCATATGTCTATCTTCTTGTTTAATGTTTCCATAATAATCATATTTTTAAAAAGTGCATGTGATATGAGAAATTTTATATTGTAACATAGAATCTTATTGAGTGCGCTAATTTAAAATAGGTTTTATTAAAGTCAAATTTCCATCATATTCAAGCCTATAATAGGTTAATCCCTATTTTTTAAATCATCATTTTTATAATTATTTTATTGAGCTCTTAATAATTATTTGTTAAACAACAAACAAACTTGTACAAAATCATAAAGTAATGAGCATGTCAATTTTTAATTATATCCATTTATGTGATATATTTTCAAAAATTCACTCAAATTTATTCAAATATGGAGTTAAGAAAATAATTGAATTTTATTTGATTGAATATTAAAGTATTTATTTAGTAGATTAATTCACTAGATTATTAATTTGATTTCTTTAGACTAGATGGGGAATTGTTTTTTCTTTGAGGGGATACATCTAACCTAAATTTGATTCCTATATTTTCGAAAGGCATTTTGACCTTTTGGCCCATGCGAATAGGAGCACGAAGAAGTGACACCTAGCTTCTGAAATAGATTTGATGAAAGTGAGGAAATGAGACACGATAAGAGCGAGCCTATATAATTTAAATAAGAAGGATTTACATATTCATACAACATAATTTTTATGTAATTGTACATCCAAAATGTGTCTTCACGGATCTCGAGAAAATACGATCGACTAAAAGGGAGGAAGATGAAGTCAGGATGGCTCATTGGTGAAAGACCATACGTAGAATCAAAGGACGTTATTGTCTGATGGCAAAGTCGCGCTAACTTGAACCCAAAGTCGACCAATTGCAGGTCGATCGAGCCAATGATCCTGACTTATCTAGCCAAAAAGAGAATCTAGTTTGACCCCCATCTCAATATTGTCAGCCGCCTCACCGACAGTCATCGAAGCTCTTCATCACTAGGTCGAAGGTTTTACCTCGATAATTTCCACAAGGCCCCCAAGATTCCTTTTTATCAAAAAAGATGAGCTATTTGTCAAATTACAGTGATTCATTCTCTGCTCGACAACCTAATCTCATCCTAGTGACATGAGTTCTCCATCTTGGGGAAGGAGTCAACAACCATTGGTCGTCAGAGTCAAACCGACTGAATCAAGTCTAGACGATTGAAGGTCATTAGAAGTATATCGAACAAAATATTAGATGATCAAGGGCAATCATCGAGTCTATTTGCAACCCTTACTCATTATGGTCAGAAGGACAGATCTTGCCGAACCAAGATCCTTTGACTCCCAACGACCAAATGATAGGGGAGCTAGGTCGTAGGCTTATTTATATAAAAATATGATATCCTATAAAGTTCCTCTATAAAGTCACATCAACAATATCATAGATTTTTATAAAGTGAAATAAGTATTTTAGGCTTTTATTTCAATATCATCATGACATTAAAATATTGGCTATATAAGTATTAAATATTAGATATTAGATATATAAAAACAATAATTATGCAATATTTACATATAAATTCTCCTTTAAATAAGTAGTCATAGCTTTAGATCGGATTGCCCAACATGATTCAACTGCAAATCATAATTAGATAACCATTATTATAAGTAATATTATTTTAATAAAACTGCTAACCTTAAACATAGATAATTTAGCTATAAAAGGGATTTAAAACAATTTTTATTTTTAAAAATACACCAGTCCATGCTTAGGTAAGATGGTGTTTTATGTAAAAATTGAAGTTGAGATGGTAGGATTGACATTAAGAACATTTTGGGAAATTGACACGACACACCTACCGCACAATTCTTAGGTAGTTTCATGTCTCACACCTAAACTTTGACTATTTCTTTAAATATTAAATTTTATTAATGATAAATATTTTAAATTTTATAAATTATGATAATTATTTGTTTTGAACTCAAATAATTGTAGTTTTAGTAAAAATAATAGAATGTGTAAGGCTCCGTGGCATATGATTAGGGAGTGGGACTTAGAGCCCGTTTGTGGCAACTTATTTGGTGCGGTGACGTTTTGAAAATGCACCTGATTTGTTTGAGTAAACTGCGTTTTGACAGTTTATGCGCTTTCAAAAAATAGAAAACTTCGTTTTCACACCGCACCTATCTAGGTGTGGTGGTAAAGTCTGGCTTTTCCAAAAAAGAAAAATTTGTAATAACTACCACACCTAGCTTATCAGCATATGATTTTTAATCAGCTTATCAGCAGATTATTCAATAAGTTACAACTGCCCCAAACAGATCCTTGGTCTCTTAGCTCCTACGATGTAGATAAAAATTTAAGCATATTAATTTTTATTTTTTTAATAAATATAATAAAAATTCACTAGATGTTTAAAAAAAATAAAATTTTTAAATTTTTAAAAATATGCTCTTAATTTAAACTGAATGGTGTTTAAATACTGCATAAAAACTGGTTCCAGTACCTTAAAGATCCCTCCTTTAGCCTCGCAACCAAAGTGCTCGGTGGGGGCGGCGTGAGCCGAAGCGCAAACAAAGCGGAAGAAGATGCGGCAGCAGGGAGCGTGCCCTCGCATGTGAGACCTCAAAAATCCCACCTTTCTTCACCCCCTCACGCGCACTTCGGACGAAGAAGAGAGAGAGAGAGAGATAAAGAGAGCTCTTTTTCCCTTTGTCCTCTCCACCGTTTTCTGGTTGCCTTTGTTGCCGCGTCCCAGCCTTTGTTTGTCAGAGTGAAGAGATATAAAAAGGAAGGAGGAGCAACGCAGAGAAGCAACGGTGGCCGCTCGAGGGACGAGCGACTGGATCATGAGAAAGATAGAACACGGCGCGGCGAAGGATGGGCAATTGCGTAACCAGAGATGAATCGGCTGTCGCTGCTGCTGCTCACGGTACTCTGTTTCCTGTCAATGCTGAATCGAATAGAGTTTCCACTTAGGGATTTCACACTTTATTTTTTATCCGCTTTTGTTATTATCACCCGGTACCAATTTCTTAAGCAAGCCTTTCATGTACTTATTCAGTAGATTTTTCCTTTTTTTTTACTGTAATTGTTCGCATACGAAAAAGCTAGTTTTGAGAATCATTCAGCTTCTCATGATGAATTTTCAAAAAAAAATACTGATTTTGTTTTCTGACCGTTGATGTTTGTGTTTGAAGTTCGGCAGATAAACGTGGTATCGAATCATGTAAAGCCTGCTCCTTCTGAGAAAAAACAAAATCGAAGTTTTATGGAGATGAGTGATCCTTCGGTGCCTGGAAGCGTAGATGATTCAACTGACATATCAATATATTCTAATGTGATCGCCTTCACAATGTTTGAGCTTGAGACAATAGCGAAGAGCTTTCGATCAGATTATGTGTTAGGTGAAGGTGGATTTGGGACGGTTTATAAGGGTTACATTGATGAGAATGTGAGGGTGGGACTGAAGTCTCTTCCTGTTGCTGTGAAGGTTTTGAATAAGGATGGTCATCAGGGACACAAGGAATGGCTTGTAAGTAAATTGATGGATGATGTACATCTTCTTGTTCATTTATGCTTCATATTATTATTGTTTTTTTTTCCTTGGTTTGGGAGCTCCATGACGGAATTTGAGCTTGTAGTAGCAGTGAGGATCATGAGGAACTTAGTCAACCTTGTCTTTTTAATCGTGCTCTTCTATTGAGCGTCTGATGAGATCTGTTAATAGAGTTAGTCAAATGCTAGAAGATGTAAATAGTGAAGTTTAGATGTTAAATATGTAAATTTTAATGTTTTTGAGTGTTATGTATGTCAAGCCCTCTTCTTATGTGATATGAAGGATTTGGGTGGTATAACACCTTGACCATGAATGAACAGATGTATATCTCTTTTTAAGAGTTAAAATGGTGATGCTTTTTATGTGATATGAAGGATTTGGGTGGTATAAATGTCTAAAAATAAAGTTTAGATGTTAGATATGTAAATACATAGGAATTGGGCAGTTTTAATGTAAATGCCTCCCCCACCCCCTCATTTTTGGGTTTGAAATGCCTATGTATGAATTACTAGAGTATCAGAAGGATTTTGCATTATCTACTTCATCAAATGATTATTTTTTTGTTTGTTTCCATTAGTTTTAAATAAAGTGCCCAATCATAAACAAATCTACACTATAAATGTGTGGTATGTCGTTGGATCCTTGTATTATAACCCTTGATATTTGTAAATATCATGTGTTGGTCTATATGTTTCTGGAGTTCCTTATGCTCTCTTACGTGTTCTTATCTCTGATGAGCAACCTCATGATCATTTTCTCCTTTAATATCTATTATTCATTCTTTTTACAGACAGAAGTTAATTTTCTAGGGCAGCTCAGACACCCAAATCTTGTGAAGCTGATTGGATACTGCTGTGAGGATGATCACAGGCTTCTAGTTTACGAGTTCATGTTCCGTGGCAGCCTCGAGAACCATTTGTTTCGAAGTATGCTACGATCAATCTCTCTTTTTTCAGACATTAAAATTTATTTTTACTATTTTTCAGAACTTAGAAAAGAGGCAACTTTTCTGGTATCTCTATTTTAAGCCCACTCTAGAAAGTATTCTTCATCCCAACACTCTTTGATTTCCACTATTTCTTCAGCTTTAGATAGGTAGGTAGAATGTGATTGAAGGATGGTCCATATTTCAATCCTACTCTACAATTATGTTTGTCAAATAAAGACTTTTGCATGACTTTGCTTAATTATAAGGGGGTTAGGTATTAATTAATAGTATCAAATGGAAGAATCAATTTCTCTGTTCTTTCTTGTAATGATGTCATACTACTATATTTTCTTATAAAAAAAAAAATAAATTTTCATACATTTTCATATGCATGTAAAATACACTTGCTTTGGATATTATACTCTAATATTACATCTAGCAGACAACACTGTCCCAAGTTACCACCGTTGCAAAAAAAAAAAAAGAAAAAATGGAGGGCTACGGTAGGTCTAATTATTAGGTGCGGAGGTCGCACGCAGAGCTGCGCGCGCCCTCCGATCACAGCCGCACATCGCGGCTGTATGACCTGCGGTAGATAGCCTAGAGTCAGCAAAAAAAATGTGGAAAAAATCATAACTTGATAGGATAAAGACTCGTTATTATTGTTGTTACATCTAGCAGACATTAGTCATCTTCTGTTTCTTCAGAAACAGCAGCTCCAATGTCTTGGGGGACAAGGATGACAATCGCAATCGGCGCCGCCAAGGGGCTCGCCTTTCTTCACAATGCCGAACGGCCGGTTATCTACCGAGATTTCAAGACCTCAAATATCTTGCTGGACTCTGTTAAGTATAGATATAATTCGATAAAAATCTCTTCTTGCTCAGAAATGCTAAAAACAGAATATTGACCAATCTGGTTCCCAATGAACCCTTTTCCTCTCAGGATTACACAGCAAAACTTTCGGATTTTGGGCTCGCAAAAGCTGGACCGGAGGGCGACGAAACCCACGTTTCGACCCGTGTTATGGGAACCTACGGCTACGCCGCGCCGGAATATGTGATGACTGGTCTGCTCCGCCGCCATTATTTGTTCAGCAAGTTCCTCTCTGAATTCATTCATATACATCACCATGAATTATGTTTCCAAGCAGGGCACTTGACGGCGAAGAGCGACGTCTACAGCTTCGGCGTCGTTCTTCTCGAACTTCTGACGGGCCGAAGATCGGTGGACAAGAGCCGGCCGGGGAACGAGCACAGTCTGGTGGATTGGGCTCGTCCGAAGCTGAACGATAAGAAGAAAGCGTTGCAGGTGATTGATCCGAGACTGGAGGAGGAGTACTCTGTGAAAGCTGCACAGAAGGCGTGCAGCCTGGCATATTACTGCCTGAGTTTGAACCCGAAGGCGCGGCCGCTGATGAGGGATGTTGTGGAGACGCTGGAGCCATTGATGGGCAGTGGCGGCGAGCAAGATGAGGGGGCAGTTCCGGTTGTTGCGGATCAACGAATGCGTCGGAGGTTGGTGGGCGATGGGGTTGGCTGCAGGTCGTCGCCTGGGAGTCGGTGTGCTTCGGGCGGTGTGGCGGCTTGCAGAGTGAGGTGATGAGGATTGGTGAGAGAGATTGCTCTGCTTGTTGAAGCTTTTGTGATGTGTAAATACTAATGATTGTTATTTGCTGCATGGTATATTTTTGGCAAATGGCTGGGTTTCCTATTTGAGTGATGTGGATCGAAGTGAGGTATTTAGACATGCTCTTCATTGTTATTGTATGCCCTCGATTGAGAAGACAGTAAAGTTTCATTCCATTCTGCTGCATTGAATGTCAAAATGTCGAAACATGAATTTATTTTCATTTTGGTAAAGCAGCATCTCTTGAAAACGATGTTTTTTTCACTATTTTAGATCTATGATAACATATATTCCACAGACATGACTTTTAAAAAAGCTTCACGGAACGAGTCATATATTGCAGTCCAAAATTTGTGTGAAGAATCAGTTAATTGCATTGAAAGTTTAAAACAGAAGTTCTTAGTATTACTCATTCATGGAGGCATATTTAATCTTGCATCTAATGTTTAAAATCTAAATGCAAAACAGATATTCAAATCACCATCGAAAACTATCTAAGCACTGAAAATTAAGATTAAACTATTTTCACTCGTCTAAAATAAAATTTTAAATATGTTTTTATAACCTGTTCAAAAAGCTTTCCACCAGAAAGCACGTCAGGCTTACAACATCCTTAAAAAAACGGCTAATAAATCAAGACTTATGTACAAGAGAATTCAGTTCTCAAAATTTCAGTAAGCCGTTGCTCTGGAAACTCTTCACAAGGCCCGGTACAAATCGTTCTTCTTAAATATGAGAAACTCCGTCTCCAAACAACTAAGCAAATCAGTAACAGCATCAGCCTTCGATCCGCTGAAGTAGTTCTTAATATCAGACAACGATATCTGCAACAAATCACTATATTAAATATTCTTCAAACATTTCATGATGGACTCTACCCCGTCATTTTAGAAAATCAGTCAAAAGTTTTTAGTGTTTCTACCCCGTCATTTTTGTTAATCAGCTCCATGATGGACTCTTCAGTAGCTTCCAAACCATCGTTCATGTTTTCATTATCTTCAGTTTGGGAGTAGTTGAGCTTCTTTGAGGGAGATTCATAAACTGAGCCTACGCTTCGATTTAGTTTTCTTTCATTGATAGCTTCGGGACTTGATTTGGACAGTGCTCTTTCTTTAATTAAGGATGCCCATTCTGAGTTTGCGATATTTGAGGTTTCTGTTGTGGTATTACTGAGCAATGAGGAGTTGGAGTGAAAAACTTCATCCGGCGATATGTTGAGATCTTCCATCAGTAAGGAAGTCTTGATCTGTTCATAAGTCACCTGCAAAACATCCTCTCCAAAGGTTAAGCGGATATGTATGCTGGTCGAGTCAAGCGAGCTCGATCCACCACCAGTTTAAGCTTGAGCTTGATTACTTAATTAAGTTCATCTTAAGCTCGAGTTTAAATCTTTGAGATCAAGTCGGCTTAGAGGCCAGCTCAGTTATTATTAAAAAGAAAACAATTTTGATTCAAGCAATTATTATAAGAAAATGATAAAAAAGAATGAGCAATCAAAAGAGAAATAATAAGAAGTGATTTGATATAAGATTAAATATGATTTTCGAGTCAAGTTTTGGCTCAAATTTGGCTAGTTAGCTCATCGAGCCTAGCTTGTGAGCCATTTGTCAAGCCAAACATGAGCAGACTCATGAGCCAACTAGGCTTAGTTATCACTTTTGCTGCAAAGCTCACATTTCGTTCATTTAAAAAATAAAAAAACTAACATTTTCTGGCAGCTCCTCTTTGATTGGCTTCAAGCGCTCTCTTGATCCAATTCTGGCAACAACGGTGCGCACTTGAGAGAAAATTTTGAGTGTCAGTCCAATCTCAGAGCAGAATCTGACCCAATCCATTTCACAACCAGTCTGGGCAGCTTCAAGGATATATGAAATAACAGTCTGTTCTTTTATTGGAACAGACCTCCCTAAAACCTGTATATAAGAGCGCAAGAATGAAAGATGAATGTTCAGCCGCATACCAAATACAAAATAGAGAACTACTACAGTGGACTTACACAAACTTCTTTCAGTGAATTTTTACCCATTTGCCACATTTTCCAAGCTTCAAACTTCGCAGGATTCAGGCTTCTCTCTGAACTTGGGTAAAGCTTTCTCGTAGCAGTTACTGTATTTTCTTCTCTATTCAAGGACAGATCAAGCTCTTGTGATGCATTACTTATGGTTTGAAGAAATTTGTCACCATATGTACTTAGAAGATGCTACAGGCAGACGAAGAAAGGTTAAGCAAATGACATCAGTTAATCATAAAGGAAATGCAGAAGAGATTAATTAGAAACATATGAGAATTATATATATTTATTTTTTCTAAGAAACCAGACAACTTTCTTATAGCCTCTGCATTCTACGAATTTTATTGCAAAAAACAGCCTCTTACCATAAAAATTTCTAGAAAACAGTAAGAAAACAATTCTCCAAACATAGTTGTAGTGACGATCTAAAACTCGAATTAGACAAAAAGCCTAAACAGACACTAAGGCTTTGTTTGAAACTTCCGTGCCGCTTTCCATTTTGGGAAAGTCAATCCTTTCATTTTATAGGCAATTTGGCTGGCAATGCTTTATGCTTGTATGAAATCACTTTAAAAATCTCAGTTTTCTTCCTCTTTCTGACTGCTATTCGTTCCCTGCCTTAAAACCTAGCTTTTTTTAAAATAACTTTGAAACAGACTTCTATAAAAATAAAAGCTTAGCTAAACAAAGCCCAAGTAGTTTAGAGATTGCACATCATTCTAGAAGCAAAATAAGCATAGAAGCCCGTCAACAACAAGCATCTCCATTTATTTACACATAATTCCATTCTTTCTAAGCCTTTATGCTGTATGATGATTTGCGTTGAGGGGGCTGAGAAATGCAGATCCTACATAACCAGAAAATTAAACAAAAAGTAAAATCATCGAGAAGGCTTGGGTTTGACAGAGAACAAGAGTAGTCTGAGAACAGGAAAATTATGGTTCATGTGGTTTGTGAAGTAAATGAAATGTAATTTTGATTATAATATCTTACTTGGTATCCTGTCGAGTGATGTTTGGTGGGGGAAGTTTCTTGTGATATAACATAAATTAATAATTTACTATGTAAGCACTTCGCCCATGAACAATAAGCAATGAAAATTATTATCATTATCAGCTCCATTCCGATCATTTCAGGTCAACTTTATGTATCTTAATTTCCTATCCATTCCTACTGGATGATGCCTACATTGCTAAAATACATCTTTTGCTGGTCATTTTAAACATCTATCTATATAACCTAAGGTGTACCCTTTTCTTATCATAATATTTGATAATAATTTTATCTACTTATTTAATTGTGTATTTCTAATATTTATTGTCCAAAACCAAACTACCTAAGTCTCTTTTCAACTCTCATCTTCAATACCATTTCTCGAACATAAATCAAAACAATTTTTTTTCTTTCCTAACTTTATCATGCCTCCAAACTAAAATTCTTTTTTCCCATAATTTGATACATCCATATTAACAACTTAGCTATTTACAACTTTTTTGTACCTATTATTCAAATTCATACAACATGAATAGCCTAATTGCACTGTTATAATATCTACTTCTAAGTCCCCATCATATCCTCTTATTGCATGGTACTCATGACATTCTTCTTCATTCTAATCACCCAGCCTCAACTCTAGAAGCAATATCTTCATCTATATCACTATTTTCTATTTAATAAATTCAATACACTTAAACCTATCACGTAAGGATTTAATTTTTCTTCTAATAATATTATCCCATAACTGCTAATATCACACACCCAATTTTTCTTTCATTTCAATTTTGCACTTATTTCAATAGATGCCTTACTTCATATAAATTGCCATGTACGAAAAGCATACATCAAGGCATCTTGCTATGAATGTCCTTATTCAAAATTTAAACAAATAGAAGTATGAACTCAATATTTTTGCATTGCTTTCAATATAATTAAAATTTCAATGATCACTCCACAAGTACATATAATCTTAGTACGTTATCCATCATAAATACAATTGACACATCTTTCTTTCTTATTACTAGCCAAAATTAATTTTGAGAGTACTCATTCATAGGGGTGTAAACGAACCGAACACGAACGAACAGTGCTCGTGTTCGTGTTCGGTTCGTTTGAAATATAGTTTGTTTGAAATAAGCTTGTGTTCGAAATTGTTCGTGAAGGGTCTGTTCGTGTTCGGTTCGAATTGTTCGGAATTAGTTCGAATTGTTCGAATCGTTCGAATTCGTAATGTTCGAAATGTTCGAAATGTTTGAAAATTTTCAAAATTGTATATATTTTTTGAATTGTTAAATAGACAATAATTTAAATATTAATTCTCATATCTTTTAAAAATTGAAATACATCAATTTATCTTTTAAAAATTGAAATACATCAATTTATCTTTTAAAAATTGAAATACATCAATTTATCTTTTAAAAATTGAAATACATCTTCATAAAATATATAAGAATTAATAATTAATTCTCAAACTACCAAAAGAAATAAATAACGAACTTCAATAAAATTATTTCATTATTAATCATTACATCCAATTATTCAAGCAAAAAAATATCTGACATAAAAGGATAAGAAAAGAAAACTTGACGATTTAACAAGCCTAATTTACAAGTACGAACAACATTAAACACAAACAAGGGTGCAATGATATAAAGTCCAAAACATCATGCATGTTGCTAACTTTACTGTGTAAATTTTGATATGGTACATTAAAATATATAAAATGATGTTTTTAATATCTCCAAAATAGTGCTCAAAACAGTCCTAAAATGATGTTTTTAATATCTGCAAAATAATGGACAAAATAACCATGAAATTATGCTTTTAGTGTCTCAAAAATAGTGCTCAAAACAATTCTAAAACAATGTTTTAAATGTCTCCAAAACATGTGCTAAAAACAACGCCAAAGTGTTATGTATGTACATATAAAAGTTTAAGTGTGAGATATGTAAATAAATAAAATTGTGAGCAACATACGTAAATTTCTGTTAAAAATAATTTATCCATATACTACGCATTATGAGTTAATGATTCTAGGGTACCACTTAAACCATTGAAAACATCCTCATCAACATAAATTGAAAGACAGTGAAAGAATAATGCTTACTTTGCCAGATCCAATAGATGTATCATAGAAAATATCGCAAAGCTCCAAGGAGAAAAAAAGCAAGAGGGAGACAAACACATGAAATTTCCCAACATAG